AGATTACGAGTCGAGCGCCCTAACCACCTGGTCATGCCGGGCCAGAACCTCAAGATATCCTGTATGTTACATTTATGCTTAGAAATTTAAAATTACTGTAGACTGATCCAGATAAAAACTAGCAATACGACACTACCTTACCGTGACTGCTTGAAAGTATATTCAGGTTTGGAAGGCTGCGGAAAGACTATGTTTGGCATAGATTGTAGTGGTTGTTTGGTTAACTGTCTCAGTTCTTAAAGACAAACAAGAATACTTTGTACATTCACGTTTATCACGGCTGTTTAAGAAAAGCCTGAAAAATTCTAAAATAAACGTCCAGGAAAATATGTCTCGGGTTCAGTGAAAGATGTTTTATCTTCCTCACCTGCACAACAAGTAACTTTGGCCTTGCTTAATAACAACTAAATTAATCCATGTTTAAAAATACGTGCTGTGGATCATGTTAAAGAACAAGCAAATTAAGCAATATTTTAGAACTAATAATAGCTTGAGTCATGTTTAAGAACATTGGTTTATCACGTAATTATACTCGCGTTTTCATTAAAACAATTCTCCTTTTTTAAATTATATATCCTTTGTAATAATCAGTGTATAAAATCAAGTAAATCACTTGATAATTTGAAATTACGTTTGCTTTATCAAAATAAAAGTACTGAGGAAAAACTTAACATTTCGGTCAACAGTTTTTCTAATGGAAGTCGTTTGGCTGAAACGTTGACCATTTTCTTTTTATAATACCGATAAGGGTTGTCCACCAAAAATATTGGCCATTTTATTTCTCTGGCAGCGACTTTAATCATTTTTTATCATACCAGTGGCTCAAGGCTAAAAACCATAATTTGATACCCGTGGTGGGTAGAGCGCAGATGGCCATTGTATAGCTTTGTGCTTAAACTCAAACAAACAAGCAAAATCATTTTTTGAATTTTCCGATTTTTCTGACATTCTAATAGTATGTTTCTTCTACCAAAGCTACACACAGTGTAACCGCAAATCTAGTAAAAAACAACAACAAAAACATTAATCATTGGTAGATCTAATATTAATTTAACATATCATGTTGCTTACTTGTTAGAAAATTCAACAACTACCGGATTTGGCAAGGTTATTCCATAATAAACAATGAAATCACATAGATGAAAAACACAAAGTAATGCCGAGTGTGCGTGTGTGTGTTTATAGCAAAGCTACATCAGGCTATCTGCTGTATCCATGAAAAGAATCGAACCCCTGATTTTAGCGTTGTAAATATGTTGACTTATCGCTGTCCCACCGGTGTTCTTAGTTTGTGGGTTGTGCATTTTGTATATTTGCTAGTACGTAAGTGTGTATATATTTTTATTTAATTTTTGTACTTTGAATTGGAACAATTTCTGTATAACTGAATACAAGTCATTCTGTACATGCCATTGCAACGTGTGAATTGCAAGTCCAGAGAGAAATGCTTATAAGGGGACGAGCGTAAGTCAGGGACTAGTATGCCAGACTAGGTGTCGTCATATTACCATCACAAAAAGAAATGTAGCGCTCCGTACTTTGGGGGTGTGGGTGCGTTATAACTGTGGGGTTCAAATTCCATTATTCACTCTGACAAGTATAACCAAACAGATCGTGGTGAGTGGTGTTGACTAGCTGCCTTCCCTTTAGTCTACCACCTCAAAATTATGGACTGCTAGCGCAGAGAACTCTTGTGTAGCTTTCCAGGAAATTTAATAAAAAAAAACTAAACATTCCAAAAATATGCTTTTAAATGCTTTTATCAGTAAATAACAATAATATATATATATTTTTCCTTTGTATAAGAATTCACTGTTTTCATTTCCACCAAAAGAATATCCTTGTTATAATACAATTCATTAGTAGATGACTTCATAAGTAACTTATAGATTTGTGGTTATCATTCAAAACATCTTTTTTTTGCGTTAATTTTAAACAAATTATTTAATCAAACATTGGAAAATCACAAAGTCATAAGGTTAGGCTTGACTCACAAAAGAAAAGACTTCTAGTGTTCGTCATTATCACGACTAATATAGTAACTAAAATATGGACTTCTAGTGAGAGTTACTATCATGTTTAATGCAGCTACTAAACTACGGAGTTCTAGTGAGCGTCATTATTGATCGTCGTTAATTTAGTGATTAAAGTATGGACTTCAAACGAGCATCACTAACTATCATGATTAATGTAGTAACTAAAATAAGGACTTCAAGCGAGCATCACTAACTATCATGATTAATGTAGTAACTAAAATAAGGACTTCAAGCGAGCATCACTAACTATCATGATTAATGTAGTAACTAAAATAAGGACTTCAAGCGAGCATCACTAACTATCATGATTAATGTAGTGACTAAAATAAAGACTTATAGCAAGCATTACTGTCTCTCATAAGTAATCTAATGACTAAAATATGGACTTGTAGTGAGCATCATTATCTAACATTATTAATGTAGTGACTAAAGTATGGACTTCTAATGAGCTTCACTATATATTATGATTAACGTAATGGCTAAATTAGTATTTAAGGCTTATTAGATTAATTGACAATTTAAAACAAACATGTAAGTAGTTAGGGGGACTGTTCAATGTCCAAAGGATGCCCCCTGATGGTTAATTAACTATTATGCCCCTGAAGAAGAAAGGTCCATCTTTCGAAAGCACTCGGGTTATAGGGTTTTATTCATAACTATTATATAATATGCAAATTACGGCGACACCTGAAGTTTACATAACTGGTATGTGATAATCACCAGAGGACGATGACGTTCACAAAGTAGCACTAGAGGACACAGCTATCTTAGCGGAGGGGTGATATCACAGTTTGATACCCGAGGGGCTGTTATTATAGTCGGACGGTGTTACCAAGGTTCTATATGCAGATGCTGTTGTCAAGATTCTATAGGCGGAGAGTGTTAGTAAAGTTCTGTAGGTGGATTGTGTTACTAAGGTTCTATAGGTGAATGGTGTTAATAAGAATAATGTTTTTATAGGTGAACGGTGTTACTAAGAATAATGTTTTTATAGGTGAACGATGTTACTAAGAATAATGTTTTTATAGGTGAACGGTGCTACTAAGAGTAATGTTTCTATAGGTGGCTGGTATTACTAGCAATATTGTGTGTGTTTTACAAAAGAGAATGGTGTTTCTATAGGTGGACAGTGTTATTACACTTCCGTAGAATTACATATAGATTTCAACTTGTCTCAATTTTTGTTTATAGTTTTCATTTATATATTTAACTGTATACGTTTTACAAAGGTGGATTGTGCTACTAAGGTTCTATAAGCAAATGTTAATACTTTTCAAATTGTGTTACTAAAGTTAGTGTTTGTATAAACAGATAGTAGTCCTATAAATGTTGGCCATAGGCCCATGGGTTTGTCAGTGGTAAGAATATTATTTATCAAGCCTATATGCATTAAGCCCCAGTCAGCAAGAAACAAGCTCTAGACGAAGATTTATAAAAATATCTACAGAAAGGTAAGATTTTCTTCAATGGTAATGATTAATCATAATTATTTACATAGATCCTTTAAACTTTAACCTGACAAATCAACATATAAAGTTAAATATAAAAATAATTGTATATTATTTAGGGAGAATATATATTATACAATATACTATTTATAGAACTAAATTAATAATGACCATTTTACATGTAAATTGTAAGGTAATGCAAAAATTATGACATGTAAGTTAAACATAGAAACTAATGTAGTCACTACATTAAACATAAATTAAATTGATACTTAAAAACGTAATCGGCTATACTAAGTGAATTGTTCAATATTTATAATAACAAAACAGCAGATATGATAAAAACCTTTCAGTATGTATATCAATTAGAAAAGAAAAACTATAGAACCAATGAATTACTGAAGTGTTTTATATATAATGGAATGGATGATTTTGAAAGGGGCTATGCTATAATATTTGCCTCATTCAAATAATGGATAGATTAAGATACCATGTATGATAAAAACTGACATATTTAACAGTTAATAGATGTCTTGTTAAAATAATGGTTTTACTTGTAACTTTTAAGGACATATTATTAAATCTAGACTACAATATTGACGACATAATCATATGTTGAAGCACTTTATGATGAGCTCATCATTTTTTTGAACTATCCATTTATAGAAACACCACCTGCCTATTCAAACACTACTCTTGGTAACACAATTTGCCAAGCAATACTATCCATCTAGAGAATCTTAGTAATACAATTCACCTAGCAACAACACCCACGTTTGTAAAACATGTGCAACTGAATATATAAATGAAAACTGTAAAAATAAGTTGAGAAAAGTTAAAATCTGTATGCAATTCTATGAAAGTATGGTAACAATGTCCATCTATAGAAATACCGTCCTCTTATGTAAAATACACACAATATGCTTAATAAGACCATCCACTTATAGAAACATTATCCTTAGTAAGATCATCTGCCTACTAACACCATCCACCTGTACAACTTTAGTAACACAATCCACCTGTAGAACCTTAGTAACACTGTCCTTCTATAGAATCTTGCTAACACCATCCTTCTATAGTAACGAACTCTCTGGTGTCAAATTATGATATCACCCCTCCCCTAAGGCAGTCACGCCCTCTAGTGCCACTGCGGGGACATCATCGCCCTCTTGTGTCTATTACTTCACAGTTATGTAACCTTCAGGTAGCATCCTTTGTCTATCAGTAATAGTTGCATAACCCCAGGCAGTGGCATCCTTCGGACACTAAACAGTTCCCCTAACTACTCGAATAACAATTCTTATATAGCTTATTGCATATTATTGAATAGTACATCTCTATTCTGTAAGTCTTAAGTCATTTTCTTTTTCCAAGGTAACAAAAATTGGGCACAATATTTATTATTTGAAGTTAGTGCAGAGAAAACATAATAAATATTAACTTTTTAAAAATAGATTAAATAGCTTGGAAACGAAGTGTTGACTAACAGTATCATGGTATTTTGAAGAAACATGAAAATATCACATCAATAATAAATGATGCAAAAAATAAAAACACAAAGAATTGAAAGCTCTAATAACACACTTACGAACATATAATAAGGTAAATATGCATGCTTCCTTCTGCACTCCAATCACATTATGAGCTTTGCAGGCTACGAAACCAAAATCATTTTCATCATATGGAATATATCGAGCTACACTTTTCAAACCAAAACTGTCAAAAGACAAAACTTCCCGACTATATCCAGTGTTGTTAACTGTCCAGGTAAACGTTACGTCATTAGGGTCAGCTTCAACCTCACAGTAAATTTCAACCAGTTCTTCTACTGTTACAGCATAGATAGCCTTCTGGTTTTCTTTACATACAGGGGCGTCTGAAAAGAAGAAATGAATTTCTAACCTATTTTTTAATACTAATCTTTACAACCGAGTATTCAAAATATACCTTGCTCAGTATTAAAGTGCTTTATGTTTGGATTTGTTTTGAAATATCAACAAAAAAGAAAAAAATGTATTTCGTTGTTCCAATGAAACAACTCATTATTTGAAATTTGGTGTCATTTGTTTTACTTTTGTTTCGAGCCTGAAGTGTATTTCATATTGTAAGCGTAATAATCTAAAGAACTGTAGCATAACCAATTTTTATAAGTAGCACTACTCCTGGATACTAAGGTAGCAATAAGACTGTGAATGCTATGACAGGATCTTTATTCAGTCAGCTTAAAAAACTGAAACATTGCCAATTTTTATAAGTAACACAAACTTTATTCATTCAGTTTAAACATAACAAGTTTTCACAAGGAACATTAGTCTAAAGAATTAAAATATAACCAGTTTACATATTTAAAAACACCTCTCTTCATTTAGATAGCCTAAAGAACAGAAACATGACCAGTATTTATAAGTAACACTACTCGTCATTCAGTCAGTCTAAAGAACTGAATTATAGCCTGCTTCCATAAGTAACACTACTCGTCATTCAGTCAGCCTAAAGAACTGAATTATAGCCAGTTTTCATAAGTAACACTACTCGTCAATCAGTCAGTCTAAAGAACTGAATTATAGCCTGCTTCCATAAGTAACACTACTTGTCATTCAGTCAGTCTAAAGAACTGAATTATAGCCTGCTTCCATAAGTAACACTACTCGTCATTCAGTGAGTCTAAAGAACTGAATTATAGCCAGCTTTCATAAGTAACACTACTCGTCAATCAGTCAGCCTAAAGAACTGAATTATAGCCAGCTTCCATAAGTAACACTACTTGCCATTCAGTCAGCCTAAAGAACTGAATTATAGCCAGCTTTCATAAGTAACACTACTCGTCAATCAGTCAGCCTAAAGAACTGAATTATGGCCAGCTTTCATAAGTAACACTACTCGTCATTCAGGCAGCCTAAAGAACTAAATTATAGCCATTTTTCGTAAATAACACTACACGTCATTCAGTCAGCCTAAAGAACTGAATTATAGCCAGTTTTCATAAGTAACACTACTTGTCATTCAGTGAGTCTAAAGAACTGAATTATAGCCAGCTTTCATAAGTAACACTACTCGTCACTCACTGATAATGAACTAACTAACTGACACTTAACAAGTTTTTACAGGTAAGACTACTTTTCATTGAATCAGCTTAAGGATCTAACACATACTCAGTTTTTATAAGTAACACTATACCCTTCACTGAGTCAATCTAAACAGCTGAAACATAACTTTTCACAACTAACAGTACTCGTTATTCATCCAACCAAAAGTGCTGAAACATAGCCAGTTTTTCTAACTGGCACTACTTTTCATTCAGTCAACTTAAAGATCTGAAACATAGCCAGTTTTTCTAACTGGCACTACTTTTCATTCAGTCAACTTAAAGATCTGAAACATAGCCAGTTTCTCTAACTGGCACTACTTTTCATTCAGTCAACTTAAAGATCTGAAACATAGCCAGTTTTCGAAAGTCACACTACTCTTCATTCAATCTTTTATTTGATTTTTTACAGTAGCATCACTCTTAAAGGAAGAAGATTATTAAATTCCGAGGTTTTTTTTTAAATCAACCTTTTTTTTTCGTTTCTAACCTTCTATTTTTATTTTCTACATATATATATATATATATTTGTACTTACATTTAATTTTAATCTCTAATCCCTTGCTTTCTCCTCGACCTTCTAAGTTGTCCGCCAGACAGCGGTATGTGCCGCTTTGTTCTCTACTTACATTCTGCAGGACTAAAGACTTGTTTCGAACATAAATGCCAGTTCGAGAATTTGTTAATAGCGTGCTTCCTTGGTACTGCCATTCCAATTTCACAATCTTTGGATTTGACTGAAACTTGCACTCAAAGTGTATATTATTTCCCTCGTATAACTTATCTGGGTTTTGATTCGGAGTCAGGTAAATGTACAGTATCGGCGCATCTGGACAAAGAAAAAAAATGAAAGAATTTCTATTTTATTTTATATTGATGCTCAAACATGAACAAATCAAACGATTATTGAAATGTTTTAAATGTAACTAGAACTATTCAGTTTTCGATATTATATAATGTTCAACGTTAAATGTAATTGTTTCTTAGTTTTATCTCATCTGTTTTCGTTATATAAGGACTCGTGCTTTTCTTTCTAGGGTAAATCTGTTGGAAAGCAAACTACGATTCTTGTAGGATAAATGTGGTTTATGTGGATTATTGTTATCACTTCGATCTATTGGACTGCTAGTTGAATAGCTACTGTTGTTTTTAAAAGCAACACCGTTTTAATTATACTTCGCATCTATATCCTGGTGATTACTAACTAATTACTTGTATGTGGTATCTTCATCATATTTGAAATATCCAAAATTCGGTAAAACCTGAAACAAAACTTTGTGTAGTCATGTCATCAGTGAAATATACGACTATTTAAAGGTACCCGGCTATGGCTGAGCAATGTGTTCTCTGTATTGTGCCCACTTCAGGTATCGAACCCAGAATTTTAATGCCATAAACCCACAAGTTTATTGTTGGACCCTAGGAGGAGTGAAGCTGTAATAGTTATGCTAAACTATTAATTAGCAATGTTATTGAAACGAAAGTTTGAAATTGAAATGTATTTCCATCAATATCATGAACTTATAAATACACAAACATAATTAGAAACACTCGATTGCTACAGTGATCTCGCAATAACCAGTAATTTGTTTTGTTTTATCACTATGACAGCATAACCATCAGGTACAATAAATTTAGAATATACATATGAATTAACTGACAATTTCTATTAAATATCAAACAGTGCTAGTATATAACTTTACTTCTAATTGAAACATCGTTTAATACTTTGATTTACTGTTTGTTTCTTTTAGAGCAAAGCCACTTTGGGCTGCGGAGAATTTAACCCCGGATTTCAGCGTTGTAAGTACGTAAACAGACCACTATCCCACCGGGAGGACAACACTTTGAAATATAAATTCAATACTCTCTATGCTAAGAATCCAGTTTTTTTATTCACATGTTGTTTTTTTTTCGTTGCTAAGCACAAAGCTATCTGTACTGTGCCCATCTCGAGTATCGAAACCAGTTTCAGTTAAGTATAATGTTTGCATAAAATTTCTTATTAAGTATTTGTTGTAGGCGTGAGCATTACAATATTTTTTCCACAACAATATAGAAATACACCTTAACTTTCTGTGACTACCCTCTAGGTGAGAAGGCTTAGAATGAAGGAAAAGAAAACGTATAAGAAGCATTAAGAAATCAAGAAGATTATTCATTCGATTAAAATCGAAGTAGCTCATGTGTCTTTCTGTGTACGTAAAACTCCTTGTACTCAAAATAACGCAGCTAATTTTCATTTTACAGCTTTAACTATACATCGAAGTAGCTCATGTGTCTTTCTGTGAACGTAAAACTCCTTGTACTCAAAATAACGCAGCTAATTTTCATTTTACAGCTTTAACTATACATCGAAGTAGCTCATGTTTCTTTCTGTGTACGTAAAACTCCTTGTACTCAAAATAACGCAGCTAATTTTCATTTTACAGCTTTAACTATACAGTTGCACAGTATTTCATTAAACCATGTATACAAATTTTGACATTTATTACCCTACCCACTACGGCGGCGATAGTGTTTTCACTCTTTTGTGTACTTGTGAATCGAATAACTCTCAAGTTCTCATCAGATTTTGGTCAAATTAGACTTAAATGGTGAGTGTTCCTCAAGAACAAACGTATTACCTTTTTGGAGAACATTTAAAAATCAACCACTTTAGCTATGATAGCAGGAGAATAGAGTATTGAAAAACGGTCAAAACACGACAACAAGTTGTACAGGAAGGAAGATCTTGGTATCTGGACTTACACGTTGGAGGGTGGGGTATTGTTTGGTGCATGTTTTAGTGGGTTACTGCAAAAAATGAAAAAAACATTGTGAGTCTGGAATTGTGTTCTATGTGTGCCTTTATAATTTCTCATCTTTTTATTTAACAATTAGTATTTGCTCAGATAATGTTGTTTCCTCTTTGAACGTACAGTGGACATTCAGAGTTAATCCATCTGTTTTTGAAATCCCAGGCATTTTACGATTTTCCGCTCGACAAGACAAGTATTTTCCGTTATCTTCGCTAGTTGGGACAAAGACAAGATTGCTGACAGTTCGATTCCCACCATCCTTCACAATCTCCACAGCAGCATTTAACTTCTGAGTTCCTAGCCACCAAGTGATGTTGGCAGGAGGCCTGGAACCCGTCGTCTGGCACTCAACACCAAACTGACGATCGGCACAAAAATGGCGGCGTGTAGAAATAACGTGTACATCCACAGGTTTCACTGTCAATAATGTTAAAAATCAAATCAGTCTCTGGAACCTTTTTTTTTTTAGTATCGTAACTATTTATCTCAGTCTCTCAAAAAACTCTACTTAAATTTTCAAAGAATTAAATAAATTCTCTGAAACATAGCATCAGTAATGGGAATAATTACAGAAGCCTATTGAGATGTAAGGTAACAGGAAATATATAAGCAGATATCTTTCTCATCGACTTTGCGAAAAACCCAACTTTAATAATACTTCGTAATGCTGCAACAAAGCTATTCAAAAATAGTAAAAAAGGCAATATTTACTAGTCAGAAAATAGCGAATTTGCAAATTAAAATGGGTTTTAAACAGTGAAGAAACAATTTATAAAATACTTCATTATGTTGTAATATTGTTTTTACGTAATTTACTTCATTTTTACAGTTTTCTCTGTTTGTTTTAAAATTATCTTACACTATTACAATAATATAAGTATATGTCAAACAATGTAACAAAATCTACAAGGAGACGATAATAATCAGTAAAGGAAACATTTATAGCACGTTCACACATTAACAAAGCTTATGTAACTTATATCAGATGTAGAAATAACGAAAGACATAATCATCTCAGAAGGAATAACCGTGGAAGTAGCCACCAATAGTATTTCCAGTTACCAACCAAAACAAAGGTGAAAAAAAAACAAGTAAACAAAACAACACAGTAAATTAGAAAAGCCCAAAGATCCACCGTCATTAACTAGTTATGGGCTGGGCAATTATCCCATGAGAACCATCAGAACCAAAAAGTCCCCACATATCCACCGTCTACGACTAGCTATGCGCATGGCGATTATCCCATAAGAACCATCAGAATCAGAAAGTCCCCACGTATCCACCGTCTACGACTAGCTATGGGCTTGGCAATTATCCCATAAGAACCACCAGAATCAGAAAGTCCCCACATATCCACCGTCTACGACTAGCTATGCGCTTGGCAATTATCCCATAAGAACCATCAGAACCAGAAAGTCCCCATATATCCACCGTCTACGACTAGCTATGGGCATGGCGATTACCCCATAACAACTATCTTAGATAATAATACTGACATTATTATATTGGGGCGCAGGTTAGCCCTGTCATCTAGCTCGAGATTACGGAGCTGGCCGGGTTCAAATTCGTGGGAACCACAGACCCCCCCCCCCCTGTTAATAAGCTGAGGATGCGTTATAAAAGTGAGCAGTCAATCACTTTGGTTGAATGGTGGGTGGTGAAGTGCTGCTAACTAGCTGCTTCCTTCTGGTCATTAGTTCAAAATTACTGACGGCAGAAGATAGCCATATTAGCTTTACCATAAATATGAAAGACAAAGAAAAGTTATTATACTGTAAAAATATATTACCAATAATATAATAATAAAAACTGTAATACCCTTTAGTACAGAGAGATGCTCAACGTTATCATACCTAACCACCATCCAAACTTATATCATATGGTAATTACTAAAAATATTTTAGAAAATGATGCAGATATTATTAAATTATATAAAAAAATATTGTCCAAACATAAATAAATAAATATAATTTATTTCAGTATAGCGATGGATTATGTAACATTTACTTCGAACTTTGAAAAATTAAATATTACATTAGAAAAAACTATCAAGTGAGAGAAATATTACTCTTAAAAATATAAAAAAGTCGTATACACACAGTTCATATCGATTATGACAGCGGCGGCCTCTGGTGAGGTAAGATTAGTGTTGGAAGCTTGGCATGTGATTTCAGCCATGAGGTCCTCTCTGGAAAGTTCTCTGATGATGTAGTCGTTTCGAACATCTTGCTCATCCGCCTCCTGAAAGCTGTTGTCAATTTCAACAGAGTCCCTCCACCAAGTCACGGTCGGTAAAGGTCTTCCTGTATAGAAATATCGTAATTTCAAAGTGACATCATCCTATGACGAGTGTCAACTCAAAGGATTGTTTATTTGTTTTTAATGACAAGTTACATGATATACAGTAGTTTTTTTCGCCCTTTAGCTACTGAATATTGTATAATTTCACATGGTTACAGAATCGATAATTTGAGTATGTACCCAAGTGTGCCACATAATATGAAAATATAAATATAAAAAGCAAGACAATTTTTTACGTCTGTTTCAACATATAATTCTCCTAAATATAATTTCACGAATGGGTTCGAGAATACATCATATACGACAAGAAAAATCACATACCTTAATTACAGGACCAATTTTTGCAATTTCATTGTGAAAAATTCCTAAATGTGTGTATAAACTTATTGAAGCAGAAGCTCATATATTAACAGAATAAATGTAACAAATCAACTCCTAAATGTTCCTATAAAAGCTTATGTATACATAAATAAGAGCATTTTTGTCAAAACTGGAAATGAAATTTTTGTCATGAACGTGACTAAACCTCGCCAGAGACCTCTAAAATTCCGGTATAGTCATCTCGAATTTTGAACTACTGCCCAGAGGGAAGGCAGCCATTTAGTAGAACCTATTGTCTCAAGGTTTGAGCCCGTAACGGAAGTGATTGTTAATTTCAAACACCTGTAAAAGCCCGGAACGTGTTCAGCAGAATAAGGTCTCGAACCCTGGTAGATGACGTTGTAACGTCGAAACATGTAGAGTCGTCAACTTTTTGAAGGCCATAGATTGGCCTAAATAAAATGTTTTTAACTGTGTACCAGTTTAACATTGAGTATTATTTATGATTTTAACAAACACTGTTATTTGATCAACATAGTATAAAACTATACAATATAAACGGATGCCTAGCTTTATGCAGATAGATCACCAACACTTTACTATTTGCTTTGCTGATGATAAGCTTTATACGATCGGCTGTAATTTTAATGGTTTTTTGCGTTTCGCTCGCCCAACATCTGTATATTTTGCATAAATTCTCTTGCAAACTGACTCTCATGGTCCATTTATTCAAATTGTTTCCTAATGGCAAAACTAACTGAACAACTTATTCTTAATAGCTTCTCACATCATGATCATTTATACTCTGAAAATAGTCATGAACTGGCACTTAAAAGTGAAAACGAATACCTTTATAGACGGCACCGAATTTGTTTCACACATGAAAAAGATTTTGAGTAAAAATGAATTTTCTGTTGTATAATAGATAATTTTAACCCTTGTCGTTATTATAATCATAAGAAGAAAAACCTTTGTGCCTTTCATTTTTACCTGCCTAAACCACACCTCATATAATGATTTGAATTATATATATACTCTCCCCTTGAGTTAATATTGCACTGTTTGATCAATTAATGTAAGTGCTTTGTTTTTAACGAAATTCTTTGTGTTGTATTTGAATCATTTGTATGTAACGATAATCATTTTTTTTTCACTAAGACCTCTTTAATTAGTTGTATAGATATATATATCATTGTCTATAAACCAAGGGTTAATAAAGTGCTCTTTTATTACTTGTACTGATTATATATACACAGACACACACACATATATATATAATACACATAACTCATATACGTGTGCGTGTGTATAAAGGTACACGTACTTGAAAGTAACGGATAAAGTTATATATTGGAGATTTAACCAACTCTAAATAAAGAGAAACATGAGAAGGCACGATTGATAATACGATTCTTAAAGTTCCAAAATATAAAAAAAAACAACATATAAATCACTATTCTTGACGAACTCGGTTTTTGTTCGCTTGAAAGATACCTTATGCACACAACATGCTAAAAGTAAATAAACACATATACTGTTTAAAAACCTTACTCGGTATTTATTCGCTTGAAAGATACCTTATGCACACAACATGCTAAAAGTAACTAAACACAGATACTGTTTAAAAACGTTACTCGGTATTTATTCGCTTGAAAGATACCTTATGCACACAACATGCTAAAAGTAACTAAACACAGATACTGTTTAAAAACCTTACTCGGTATTTATTCGCTTGAAAGATACCTTATGCACACAACATGCTAAAAGTAACTAAACACAGATACTGTTTAAAAACGTTACTCTGTATTTATTCTACTTTTAGAATATAAAAGAAAGAGAGTGCAAGGATAGTATCTGTATATAATTACAAGTTACTTTTTAGACAAGAAATAAAGACAAACGAATAAAACTACGATAAATAACATGATATAACATCGTGTTGTAATCAAACAGTAACCTTTCATGATTACAACACGATGTTATCATGTGTTGATGAAAGGTTACTGTTTGGTTACAACACGATGTTATCTCATGTGTTGATGAAAGGTTACTGTTTGATTACAACACGATGTTATCTGATGTGTTGATGAAAGGTTACTGTTTGGTTACAACACGATGTTATCTCATGTGTTGATGAAAGGTTACTGTTTGATTACAACACGATACTGTCTCATGTGTTGATGAAAGGCTTCTGGTTGGTTATAACACGATACTGTCTCATGTGTTGATGAAAGGTTACTGTTTGGTTACAGCACAGTATTATCTCATGTGTTGATGAAAGGTTACTGTTTGATTACAACACGATGTTATATCATGTGTTGATGAAAGGCTTCTGGTTGGTTAAAACACGATGTTGTCTCATGTGTTGAAACAGTAACCTTTCATCAACACATGAGATAACATCGTGTTGTAACCAAACAGTAACCTTTGATCAACACATGATATAACATTGTGTTTTAACCAAACAGTAACCTTTGATCAACACATGATATAACATCGTGTTGTAACCAAACAGTAACCTTTGATCAACACATGAGATAACATCGTGTTGTAACCAAACAGTAACCTTTCATAAACAAATGAGACAACCATGTGTTGTAACCAAACAGTAACCTTTCATCAACACATGAGATAACATCGTGTTGTAACCAACCAGTAACTTTTCATCAACACATGAGACAACATCGTGTTGTAACCAACCAGTAACCTTTCATCAACACATGAGATAACATTGTGTTGTAACCAAACAGTAACCTTTCATCAACACATGAGATAACATCGTGTTGTAACCAACCAGTAACTTTTCATCAACACATGAGACAACATCGTGTTGTAACCAACCAGTAACCTTTCATCAACACATGAGATAACATTGTGTTGTAACCAAACAGTAACCTTTCATCAACACATGAGATAACATCGTGTTGTAACCAACCAGTAACTTTTCATCAACACATGAGACAACATCGTGTTGTAACCAACCAGTAACCTTTCATCAACACATGAGATAACATTGTGTTGTAACCAAACAGTAACCTTTCATCAACACATGAGATAACATCGTGTTGTAACC